TCTTTAATTGCTCAAAATTTTAGAGATGAATTGAATTCAACACGATATATGAATAGTCAAATAATTTGAGTTATGAGTTTATTATAAAATTTTCAGATGCCAAACTTTAGATTCTGTCAGCTTAAACTTTTAAATGAAGTGACGAAAAATTTGATCGTTTATATCCGACAGAAAGTTGATAAGAAGAGATCACTCACAGTTTTTGCTGCTTGGGCAGCATTGGGTGTGTGAGGAGTAAGACTTGTAGGATGCCCAACATTAATATGAATATGAGTTGGTGCTGCTTGTCACGGGACTAGATTTCTGACATCACCTTGCGATCCGTCACATGCTGCTGCTGCTGGTGGAACCATGAACTGACTTGTTGAATGCCAAGTGTTTTGCTGCAACAAGCATAAAACAAGAGCTCATGAAAGCAAAATAATGCACATTTAAATAAATAAATTTATTTTTTGTTTAACCAACTTAAATTTTCTGAGGAAGCGGTTAAAAAACATAGTATCCGAGCATATATAAGTTCCGGAGCCTTATGTTCATTTCGAGATAATCAGCGTTTAAGAAATCCCTATGCATGGTCAAGAACCCGAGATCTTGCTCTCAATACTGCATATCTCGGATTCTATGCATTAGGAGATGATGGAAAATTCATCTCCACCCATATCCGAATGTGAATCTAGCCTAAATAACACTCTTATCACACGAGACCTTCAAAATAAATAGAACCTTCTACAAACTCTCTAGATATCAAATACACCCTCTTAGTCAATTATGTATCTTGATACGAATTCTATCGCAACTTTGACCCCAACACATTATACATTGTTCTCTCCAAACTTTGTTAGCTACAATAAGGTTTAAAGGAAGAAAAGTCCAAACATTGTCTAAATACTAAGTGAAACAAATGCTAGTTTATTACATTACCTGATTCTGGTTTGCCTTTGCTGTAATAGCTGCATTTTTCTTCATCTCTAACAAAGTGAAGGTATCCAAGAATTTTTGGCGACCATTGTGGTGGTGCTTACTCTTATTAGATCGGTAGCAATAAATGCAAACAGAGAATTAGCCCGCACTCTCAAAACACTCGACGCACGAAAAAAAGGTCCCTGGTATAAGAATCCCACAACATTTACAAAGTGGCCTTCCACTTTTAATTATGTAGTATAGTGTCAAAACCTCCCAAAAATCAAGACTACCATTTCCATCCCGGTCGAGCTCCCTGAACAAGTACGGATCGTTGTAGCATGTGTAACCTATCGAAAACATAATTTAAGCAAATAAGTTCATCCCATTTGGTTAATATCATACTAGAGTAGACAAAAGTCTCGTGTTCACAATTGTGCACGTGTTAAAACTTTGATAGAAACTATGAATCTGAGTTGCACGTGAAATGGCGTGTTCAACCTTGTTGAGTCATGAATGCCAAGAACTCGGCCAGGCTCACTCGTCCATCTCCATCGGTGTCCAGTGCTTTGAAGAACTCATATGCCAATGTCTTAACTTGTGAAGAGCCAGCTCTGTAATGAGCATCAGCAATTGCACGCAGTCTATCCATTTCTTGTTCTAAAAACTTGAAAGGAATGAAAAAAGTTTGTGGATTATAAGGTTTACAGCACTGAATTTGATTGCAATGCAATCTATGGAGTCTTGGACAGAAACTTGATCGTGTAATAATTTGAGGATAGTTTCAATATCATAATACAGGTAAGTTGACTTAAATTTTTTGCCACCTTGAGATGTGGAGAAATAACGTGACCCAAGTTGGCAGCAAGTTCCTTTCATTTTCATGGTATTATATTTTAGTGATCAAGTTGCATTTTTTGTCTACTTTTTAGATGAAGTGGTCAAGCTGAAAACATACTCGACGACATTCTTGTGTTCAAGTGTCGTGAAAGAAGCTTCGAGTCCATAGTGGACATGAATTGAGAACGAGAATTGAACTCTGTGAAATCTAATCTTTCATTGTTCATCGGTAATCAGTGATAAAATTTTTGTGTTCAAGTATTGTGAAAGAAGCTTCGAGTCCATATTGGACATGAATTGAGAATGAGAATGAGAATTGAATTCTATGAAATCTAATCTTTTATTGTTCATCGGTAGGTCGGTGGTAGAGTGATCGATTGTTTACCAATTGATTGAAGGTTGAAATCCTACTTGGAGAGATTTAATTATTTAACTTTGAGGGGTTGCTCAATTGGTCAAGCCTTGTGTTTGCTTCCAAATGGTCACCAGTTCGAATCCTCTCAGGGCCATTGGGTTGAGTGCCCGGCTGTAAACTTTAGGGTCCCGTGGAATTAGTCGATGTGCGCGCAAGTTGGCCCAAATATCCACGGTTATTAAAAAAAAAGAGATTTAATTGATTACTTTTCAAATATATCTCCGTGTTTTACTTAAGAAGAAATGGAAGAACGGAGGCGATGCTTTATTAGTAATACATGAAAAGAAGCTAATTAAGGAATTATTGAGAACACACCGTCAGTCACTCAAGCATTAGGAGAGTTAGGTGGTCACCTAATGCCTCCAATTTATCAAAGGTCCCTAACTTTTAAAATTTATATATTTTTGCCTTTATTTTTCATATGAAATTTTTTGTTTGTAATTAATAATAGTAAAAAAAAAAATAATTAAAGATTATGAACGTTTTTAGTTAGTAATCTTTAAAACATTGAAATTAATGCATAAATAGACAAGAAAGCGTCAAATAATTTAAATGACAGAGGGATTTTATGTATTACTGTAATCATGCTGTGAAGCTATTTATAAACTCTACACAATTGATATCTGACTCTCTTCGAACGATTATGAATCTTGAAACATAACTATTAATTAAAACGAACGTAACTTTTAACAATCGACTATATACAAAATGTATCATACATTTTGATTCAGCATTAACCATAAAAAAAAAAAAAATAATAATAAAATGAATTAGGTGACAATGGCAATAAACTTAGAGCAAGTTGGCTATTAATATCTAGTCGACAAAATAATGCACTAGACTTGCAAGTCAATGTCTCGACAACCAACCATTAAGCTACCAACATCTAGTTAGAGCCTTATAGGTACATATCCAGTATGGCGAGTCCTCGTTCAACTTTGGTTGGACTTTGTCAAGCTTGATACTTTACACTCGCAGATCGACTGCTCTTATACTGTGCTAATTAAATATATCCCGACTTAACACAATGCTTCATATCTATATCTCTATATGGTAGTTGTAACTTCACACTTCTAATTACTCCATTTGAGATCAGTAATCTGGGTTGATTCTCAACAAGGTGGTTGCTAATAGATGCGTTGAAAAGTTGGAGTAAAGAACGAATAGATACAAGTGTATGCATTAGAACATATTTCTATCCCGAGTGCATGCACGACATGTGAAGTGAACTCATGAAATTCCAGTACAATTAAGTTAGCATCGCAAGAGGCAAGAAAAATATTCATTTATGTGCTACCTTATATTCAGTTCAATTGTATTGGGGTAAATAGCACAAATAGTCCATATCTTTCAATGTCATTGTGCAAAACGTTCATACCTTTCATTTTTTGGCATTTTCACCTCTACCTTCCACCTTTCATTCCGCAAAAGATCATTTTCAACCATTTTTCCAATAAAATAACGATTTTACCCTTCTATTCAAATGAAACAAAAAGAAAAGAAAAGAAAAAATAAACAACTAATTGCAATCATAGTTCTAAAATTTTCAAAATATTACAAATAAGTCCTAAATTCTCGACCATTGCCACTTTCATAACCCCACCAAGCCGCCACCTATAGATCCACATAGCACCACCGTCTGGCCACCACACCCGCCAAACTCTACTACTATCATCGCTTTACTCTCCCCAACATCCTCTTCCACATTATTGGTCACAAAATCTGTCAAAAATATTCACATTTGCAGCCTAAAATACCAAACTGCCTTATACAACCCTTCATGGAAACCCATCTTTCGGCGCCATCCACGGTCGCGCATCACCACCAACGGTTACCCCTCACCTTGACGAACTTATACATGGCCTCACATCAGTCAAACATGCCTCAAATCATTCTATTGTAATCTAAATATTCGACAGCGAAGACGTCCATTTTGCCAAACTCTTCTCCTTCAATTCATGCATCCCACTACACTAAATCCCCAAAATGGCATAAATCGAATCATCAACAAACCCAAATGACAACGGGTATGAATCTAATTGAACCAATTATCCCCCCAATCGTTTCAATTTTTGGTCCAAAACATTCCACGAGCGCGATTCACGGAGAGAGCTGTCTGACCGAAATTGGTGGGTCTCCAATCTTCAAATTCATGCGGGGGAGGACGGTGGGGGAGTGAAGCGAGGTTGGTGGTGGTGAAGTCTGGTGGGCGTGGTGGCCGAAATGTGGTGCTATGTGGATCTATAAGTGGCAGCTGGTAGGTTGTGAAAGTGGTGGTGATGGAAAATTTATGATTTTTTTGTATTTTTTAAAAAACTTAAGGATTATAGTTGCAGTTGGTATTCATCTTTTTCTTTTTGTTTTATTTGAATATGACGATAAAATCGTCTCTTATTGAAAAAATGGATAAAAAGACTATTTTGCGCAATGAAATGTGAAAGGTATGGATGAAAATGTTAAAAAATGAAATGTATGAACATATTGCACAATGATATTGAAAGATAGAGATGTTCTGTGTTATTTATCCATTTCATTTCAGTTAAAATTCTATGTTATGAATTTAAATTTCGTTATGAAAATTCAAAATTTAAATCAGGAACATAATAATCAAATTAAATTAGAATCCAATAACTAAACAATTGAACTATTTTTATACAAATAATGAACTATATTTAACAAAGACTGTTAGAAACTTAGATCTTGCTTAATTCAACTAAAATCGCCTTTCCACCATGTAGCAACTGTACGTACAGAAACGTGAATGCCGCACCATACAACAACATTTTTTTTTAATTTATCCGGAAATTAATGAACTCTAGCGACAAAAAATAACAAAGGACAAAAAATGGAGAAAATCCAGCAGCAGCAATGGTGGAGAGTGATCAAGTCATGGCTATCTTACAAGAATGCCACTATTATCGTCTGCTTATTCAATGTTATCACTGCCCTTCTCTTGCTTCAAGGCTTCCTCAATTTCCCCTCCTCATCGCAAAAAGGTTTTGCTTATTTTTTTTTTCTTTACTACTTCAATTAAGAAATTTAAGGGCGTTTTTGGCTTCTGATTTTTTTATTTATTGGAAATTTTTTTCTATATGTGCATTTGGGCATGGGGTTTTTTAGGGAAACGAGATTTATCGTGTTTATTTGTGAATTTTGGAACGAGTAACAAGGGGGAGCCAATTGGGTGAAAATCTTGTGTTTTTAAGACTGATTTATGATATTAACCTTTAATTATGAGGATTTAGTTAATTTGTGGTATTTTACAGAATTGTATTTGACAATTGATGAGGATTCTGGGGAGAAATTATTGGTTAAGCGAAGTTTGAATTTTCAGAATTGTCTGTTGCAGTTATGATCTAAATGTTTACTGGTATTTACTTTTTCTGTTGAGAATTTTGTAATTTAAGTTCCACAACATAAATTTTAGCGAGTTATTGGCAATTGCTGTAAATTCCTGAGATTTCACAAGATCAAGAACTTAATTGGTTGGTAAAGGATGTTTTTTTTTATCTATTTAGTCATGATCGATTTTGTATTGTGAAATTTATTTTCTGTTTGAGACAAATATAGCTTTCAATGACTAGTGTTATTGCTCGTGAACTTTGAAATACAGCCTTATACAGGCATATAAAAGAATCTGAAGACATTCGCCGTTCCATGGTGCCTCTGGATCTGATTAAAAGAGTGAGTATGGCCATTTAAGTTTTTCTTAATTTTTTATAATATTAACTCATCCAAGTTGTCTCTTAAATAAGGAAGAAAGACTGATCCATGTTTATTGCTCATGCTCTTCATCTACCTTTCATTACCCGCTTCTATATTTTATTTTCAGTTAATATTTCCACACATTTGACACTAAAGACTAGAGAGTAGAACCCTATGTAATATGTTGTATTTGAGTGGCATCTGGTGTCAACTATTCTATCTCCTTGTTTTTAGGTTAGAGAAATTGAAAAAGAAGCGTATGTTGAAGCAAAGCCTGTACCGAAAAGAGATTCTAAGCAGACAGCTGCAGCTGACCTTATATCCAGGCTGAACAATTTTCATTCATATTCAGATGCTGGCAGTGTAAAAGGTGATCTGTGGTTCCTTGCATTCATTTGCATTCTTTTAGTTTTCTTTTTTTCTTCTCTCTCTCTACATATTTCCATAAATGCAGAGTTAGAATTTGACAGATACAAAATTGCATCAAAGTTACCATTGTCAACGTTAAGATACTAGAATGTCCCATTTCCCTTTCTAATGAGTATTGAGCTGCCTTAATATCCATGTTGAACATTTGAAAGCTGCTGTAGTGTCGACTGGAAAGTCCATCTTTCTCTATTTTTTAAGATGTCAAGAAAAATACAGTATCATGACTGTTGATTGAATTATAATGTTACTCTAACTCAGGAATTTTTTGCACTCTTTAGTCTCTATTAACAATCATCCTCATTTCAGATATATCGTATGTTATATTGTTATTATAGTATATGCTATTATTAGCAGCCCTTTTTCCTATGTACATCTATACTAATCATTAATCAAAACAGAGCAATGACAACCATGGGAAACTTCAAGGGTCTCTACATTAGTCTTATAAAGGGTGGAAAGGGGTTACATGATAGACATAATGGTTTGTTATCTTCCTTTAACAATTTGTATTTGTTCATGTTCTGAAGACAGTTACAAGTTACAACAATGTAGGAGAGTAGGATAACTCGTAACCTAGAATTTATTCCCTCTCTCGTCTACTGTTGCTCGTTATGGCTTTCTATGTCTATTCTTTATTGAATAATGACGCATGACACTGTTTGGAATCTATAACTGCTACTAATGGACTGGAAATTGGATGTTATTGATTTCTGCAGATTCTCAATGTAGAAAACGATTATTTCTGAGCCTCCTCTCCTTTTTATCTAAATTTCACCTTGCTGGAATTTAATTTGCACCTATTTTTTGATACTTCCTTAAAAGGGACAAATGAAAAACTTGCCATGGAGAACTATAATGTAACCCGGAATTCTAATATGTAGGGGAGTGGTGTTTAGGGTAAGCTGCAGTAACCTTCTTTCTATTATTTCATCACAAGTTATTACTCTACTTCCCTTCTTTGAGGCAGCGATCAATTTATCATTATCTTCTATTGATGTCCTGTTAAGTTCTTAAAAGGCTCTTAACTCGTGCTTGTTGAGAATTATAAACTATAATTCTATTTCACCTAGAACAATCAATTCGAAGAAAGAAAAATAAATGCTCAAGAACACGCAATATTTATAGAGGTTCGTTTTAATGTAAGTCTACGTCTTCTCCTATCGCTGCAATAATTTACTATGATGAAAAACGTTTTACGAGATTAAATTGAACCAGTCTTCTCTAGCCTCTCTTCTTCTCCTTTTTGATGATAATTAAAAAAGCCTAAGGACGACTCTCTATTTATAAGATAAATTAGGGCAAACTTAAATTTCACAAGGACTTCAATTCTTTAATAGAATTTTACGAGAAAAAAATTCTCAAGACATTTTTGAATGAAATTTTAGTCCGATGGCTCTGCTCTCCCACACCCCCAAGATGGGGCCTCCTGCCGCCCCTTAAAACCCTCTGACTACTTCACAACATATGTCGATTTGCGACTTATCCGCGAAGTGACAATAGTTAAGCTCCACAACTTAACAGTGCTAGCATTATATTATTCTCGATCTTCTCTTTTTTCTTTTTATATTTTCAATTTTACTTAGGGATGACAAAAAAACCTGACATACGCGATACCTGAGGGGCCCCGTCCCGAACGGGGTGGAGATTACCCGCTTAATCGGGTATTTGGGTCGGGGACGTGGCGGGTAACTTCGCCTTGGGGCGGGGTACCCCGTTACCTGTACTGGCCGTCCCGTTAAATTTTTTTTTTTTAGAATCCAATATGGAAAATTTCACGTAATTTCATTAGTTCTAATAAAAAATGGCAACTAAAATTACTCTTAAAAAATATAACAGACAATGAAAGCGTTAATTTACCAAATATATTTGAATAATTTAACTTTTAAAAATAAATAAAAAATTAAAAAATATATTATCGTTTCATTTTAATGAATGGGGACAATAAAAATGAATTATAAAAAATGTATATATATAAAAAAAGTCGAGTAGTAAACGGAGCAAGGGTCCCGCCCCTTAAACGGGTAACGGGGCAGAAAATTACCTCGCGGATCCACGTCCCCAGCCCCGTTGCCATCCCTAGTTTTAATCTTTGACGACTGACATGTCAATGAGAAGTTGATGTAAAAATCTAGGAAAGGAAAAGATCGTGGAAGGCAATGGCTAAATCTAAATCCCAATACCTTAAGGCCCTGTTTGATTGGCGAAATTTTCCAGGGAACTAGAAATTTTTTTTCCGTTTTCCATCTTTTGCGCTGTTTGACAGCTTAAATTATCCACGAAAAATATTTTCCCACCCCGCCTGCCACATCAGCATTTTCCATATTTTCCATGAAAATATTTTCCCATCTTTTTGGTGGGAAAATATTTTCCAGCCGGCTGCTCAATTTTTTACTTTTATTTTTTGGTAATGGAAACAAATGCCATAACCAATTGTAATTTTTTTTTCACTTTAATGGACAATTTTCATGTAAAACAAAGTTAAACGAATATTAAACTTTGATGAAAAAATAATTTTTTAGGGAACAATTTTTTTTTTTTTTTACTTTTTGGCAATGGAAACAAATTTTATAACCAATTGTGGAAAAAAAATATCACTTTAATGGACAATTTTCATGTAAAATAAAGCCAAACAAATAGAAAATTTAAAAATTTTCCAAGTGGAAAATTATACGAATCAAACACACTTGAAATCATTTTCCCTGCAAAACATTTTCTAGGCAAATCTTTTCCCTGTAAAACATTTTCTTTCCACCCATTTTCCACCCTTGCAATCAAACGCACCCTAATACAATTTGGGCGCCTTAAACGGGTAACAGGATAGAAAATTACCTCGCGGGGTGGGGGACGTGGAAGGCCGCCCTGCCCCGTTGCCATCCCTAGTTTTACTCTTTGACGAGTGACATGTCAATGAGAAGTTGATGTAAAAATCTAGGAAAGGAAAAGATCGTGGAAGGCAATGGCTAAATCTAAAACATGTCAATGAGAAGTTGATGTAAAAATCTAGGAAAGGAAAAGAGCGTGGAAGGCAATGGCTAAATCTAAATCCCAATACCCTAATACAATTTCTAGTGTTGGCAGTATTAGAAAAAATTTTAAAATCAAAATTTAATATAAATATAACCGGACATTGATGGGTTCCCTGTTTCACTAAAATCATTCTTGTCCAATGGTCTCTCTTTCTCCGAATTCATCATTTTCACCACCCATTACCCTTGTTGCTTTGCCCTCTCGAGTTAGTCTCTCTGTGAACAAAACTCATACAAAAATAGGAAACAATATTCATTCAAAATCATGAAACTTATTGCTTGTTGTGGATGTGGAAACAGGCGAGCCTCTATTTTGAAGAACGAGATATCTGCAATTTTAAATTTGGGGCTGATGGGCTGGAGAAGGCTTAAAATAGATTTTTTTATTGATGAACTGTGTACACTTCAATCAGATAACCGTTTTAAGATGTGATCTGCTAATATGTGAATGTCTTTTGCTTGTCATTGCATTGCCATCTAGATCTAGAAGGGTATTCACCGACAATTTTCCTTGAAGATCCTCATGTGTTTATTGATTCTTTTTATCTCTCTTTTATATAGGAAATACTATATTATATATTCAGGGCTTTTGTTCCCTTTTTTTGTGTATTTTGCATTTTGCTAGAATCAAGGAAAATGAATTGCTGAATCTAGATATTTGAGATTATTTTCCCCTTATTTTCAGCCTTGGAAGAATGGCGTAAGAGGAAGATGGAACGAGCCAGACAACGGTCACTGGTGAAGAATGGAACATCCGGCTCCCAACTCTGAACTCTTTCTCGGGATTTTTATTTTCCTGCTGAACAATATCTGTCATTATGTATTGTATAAACTTTCAATTGAGATGGAAACAAGTGATGAAATATTAGTCTGCAAATCTTTATGTGGTGAAAATTTTGTGAGCAATCTTGTGTTTTGGTAGCTTACTATTCAAAATTAATACAGTTCTACGTCATACAAGCAGAGATCCTGTTTGAATTTGTTTGCCTATTAGGTTGTTATACATTTATTTTCTTCAGCCATCTTCATCAAACATCATGATTGCACATGAGCCAAACGAGTTACTTGAGCATCTTGAATTTTGCTATTCATGGTATCACAAATTCTATGTTACACCTCTGAGTTCTGAATCTTAAGCCACTCATGCAGGCAGTTAATTTTTATAGACAATGTTTCCATTTCCTTTCTTTTTATAGAAAAAACAAAATTTCATAAATATTTTTGATAGAAAACAAGATAAAACAAAATATGGCGCCTTCCTATTAAGCTAATCACCATATCACTAATAAAACTTGCATTCCTAAAACTTATACTTAAAAATATTTATTATTAATCCCACTTAAATTAAATTTGTCTTACTTAATAAGTAAGGGAGCCGCTATTGTCATCCAAAATTCTTATACATCTACTACACTCTCAAGTCTATCCCTATTAAAATTTTAAAATTTCAAAAAAGTACTATTTCATCAACGTTATATTCCAACATTATCCTTATTAAATTCATTCATTTAAGTACTACATATTCACTCCACTTTTATATATTTATTCCACTCTAAATATCCATATTCCGGTTTTAAAATTTCGAAAAGTATCAAACTATTAAAATTTGAAGATCCCAAGTTTTAAACCAACTACTGGTGCGATGGCTGAGTCGTTCAACCATTTTAGTTGCAATTTCTAAAATGTATAAACACGGTATACATGCAAACATTGTAGTTATATCATAATTAAAGTCTAATTTACCAGAGAAAGCTGAAATATTAGAAATTAATGGCATTATCCCAAAAGATACACTCCGTGAAATGTTGATTTTACGTAATTTATTTTGCTCTACTCATGCATAGTAGCGGACCCAACATTGAAGTTCAGTCCGGACGGACGTTGACCGGTCAACGTTGACAATCAGTTATCATAAGAGCAATGTCGTTTATTAATATTTAATTAAATAATATTAAAAATTATTCAATATATTTGTGAACGCACTAAAACGTGAAAATTATATATATATAAAAACATAAAAATTATATATATTATGATAGATTTACATATTTGAATGTAGTGTCATTATATTTTGTTGGTAATGTAGAAGTGAAAAGTGCCAACATTCATAAATCCAATTCCAAATCCAAATTTCCAATTCCCCCAATTCCAATTCATAAATCATACATGAAACAACACTGAAACTTATCATAAATCATAAATAGGGGAAAAAAAAAAAAACGGTGGGCAGAAAAGTGAAAACTCATAGATTCGCAAATAGTGGCGGAGCTGCAGCCTTTCACACTGGCGGTCGGTGGTGGTGTCGAATCCGGTAGGTGGACCGCAAACGGGAGAAGACGGCCGGACAATTAGTTAGTGGCGGAAGGAAATCGGAATCGAGTTGAAGCCTTGAAGGAAACGATTTTGTTTCCAATTTGGTTTAATTTCAATTGGGGGAATAGGGTTGGGCTGGACCTATATACCGAAAAGTAAATGGCCCAACCCAATTACAAAAAAAAAGGGCTGGGCTAGGCCGCAATGGCCAAATTTCATAACAAAAGAAAGAAAGAAAGAACTGATGAAAAAGATGAACCAGAAGACAGAACGGCAAAACCACTGAAGTCTGAACTAGGCGCCGCGCTAGTGGCCTTCTTCCTCCCAAAACTCTTCCGGCAGAGCCTAGCACGCTCGACCGCCCCCCCGGCCAGGTGTTGGGTCTGCCACTGCTCATGCACTTACGTCTAATTGACATAAATAATGAATACTTTGGAATAACTTCAGTTCCTTTTTTTTTAAAGAACAGGACATGAGCAGTAACCGTGTTACTATTCATAGCGTGAACAATAGAAAAAGTAAATATTCTTTTTTTTTTTCTTCAAGCATAAATGATGTACTATTTATATTGTCTAAATCCATAAATGAAATAACAATTAAGAACAATTCATAAACAATCCAGCATTTTTAATAAAATAATGCCAAATATCATTTGGAACTCGATTCTAATATACCAATTGAAGAAGATGTTTATGAATATTAGGATTTTAGTTAAACATAAAATCTAAAAGAATATAAAAAAGTCTAAAAGAATTTAACGAAAATAAATATTAGTGGATAAATTTAGAGTTATAGATTTTTATTTGATTTTATTCTAGTCTATTTAAGTAAAATATAATGCTATATGTACATCCTCCCTTACAAGATGGTTAACATTCCCTCCTTGTGGAGGAAATCCGTGCAATGATGTGATGTACGAGTTTAAAATCAAGAAAGTAGATGTTGCCACGTAAAAGAGTGTAAAGAAAGGTGTAAGAGAGAGTATACATGTAGCATGATTGGTAAGTAAATTTACACAAGGTTAAAAATGTAATATAAATTTCTTTTAGGGTAATTATATTCACACCACAATTTTTATTTTTTGCACCACATTTTAATTGCACTCTAGGTTCTTAATTTTTGCTCATTACTTTTCATGTCATTCTATTCCTCAAATCTTTCATTAATTAATACATTTTTGTATTTGATAAAAATTTTATATTCAAAAGTTTGTTGTAAGGGCATAAAACAACTTATTTTTCCATGACATTCTTAAATAAATAAATAAATAAAGCGAAAAAATATTTTTTGCACATTGTAAAGATGCATAAACAAAATATTTTGATATAAATCATCATCAATGACGAGACTTACTAATTAATCAAAGATTGAAGATAAGGATTCGATGAAAAAAAGTTGAGAAAATAATTTCTGCAATGAGCAAATATTAAGGAGTTTAAACCATAATTAAATTGTGGTGTATCAAATAAAAATTGTGGTAGCAATGTAACCGCCGTTTTGTTTTATGCATGAATTCAAATCTATAAATGTTGCTGACATATGGTGATACTAAGCTCAATTCTTTATTAAAGATTGTTGAAATTATTATTCAAAATTACTAAAAAGGGATTTGGAAGCCAAAAGTTGCACCATGCGACCGCATAGTCCAAGAGGGATGCGATTGCATATACATGCAGGGTTTTCAGGCCTTGCTGTTGAGTCTTGTATGCGACCGCATAGAATTGATCCATGGCCCTACAGTTGAGTCTTCTATGCGATCATATAGAATTGATCTATGCAGTCACATAGGTTTAAAAATAGTCGTTGGGCTGGTTTCCTTGTTTGAATTTTTGGTGGCTTTTGATGAAAAAAATGCAACTTTTCATGGATTTTTTACATCATTTCGTGGATGTTGATTGAGCGACCTATATAAAGATGTCTTATGATAATCACAAATAACATTAAAAAACCATTATTGAAATCATTTGAAATTACATTCAATTCCAAAATGAAAAAGATAAAATTCTTTTCATTCATATTCAAATTCCTCCTTGTATTCTTGAAATTTTGGTAAAAAATACGAAGTGTTCAAGTGTTTTTCTATTACAAGACTTGATAAATCCTACAATACATTTGCCAAAAAACCCTTTAAGCACCAAATTTGAATCCGAGAGAGGGCAAATATCGTTTGAGGACAACAATATAATTATCGTGTTTAGACTTCTCGTGATTCTTCTTAGATGATCATGATTATTTGTTTCTGATTTCTTCTCCAACCCCTTCAAGTGGAAGAGCAATATTTTCATACAATCTCAATGATATTTCTATGATGGAGAATGAAATCACCATGGCTGCGATCAAGTGATGAATCCATATTCATGAATTCGAATTCGGTACATCATTACTTTGTCTTCTCAACTATTTCGGTAAGTCGAATTTTATTTCAATTTCATGAGCATAAAATGGTACGCATTTAATATGAATATAATATGTACATTATCGGTGTAATATCTCCAACAAATCTTAAGATGAATTTCTTGTGTGCATATTAAATTACACGTGCAATAGATATGAAGATATTTGTGCAACATATACTTAGTATGTAAATGCTAGAATATTTTGCTGAATGTTTTTTGCCACATGGTGGTCCTCTCAATTTTGATGAGTGACTTTATTTCACTTATGGTGGAGATTGTTATTGGTTCTGGAAGTTCATAGTCCATGTTTCGGCCATTATTTGATTTACTTATAGTAGTGACTATTCTTGTTGAAATAATGAGATTGCAACATTTCTTATAATGTGTAAGTGTACAGACTTCCATGAAACTTTGATATTCCTAATCACAACATGTGTTGACTAAAATGGAATAAACTTATACAATGACTGTATAAATTTTTTGGAATATAAGTTGCTATTCCTTCACCTTGATCGTGATAAGTTGGATATTGTTGAGACTAATATGAGTCAGACAACGAATTGTTAGAAATGAGAAATTTACTCCTAACCGTTGGATATGTATAAATGTTGGAAGAATGCCAACTATTTGTTGAAAGTATTTGAACTTTCATGA